ACACACACACACACACACACACACACACACACACACACACACACACAACGGAATACGTACGAAATATGTTTTTTTTCTTTCTCGAAATGATTGTGCGCACTTTTTTATTCCTTCTCGTCGCTTGCCAACGATGCGATTTCCGAGGGAATGGAGCGATTCCGTTCATTTCTTTTCGGTCTGTATATCCGAGGCAATTTTATGAATTGTGTGCTGTGTTTGCACATTTTCGATTCCAGAAGCGAGAGACAGAAGCTATATAGCTATTAGTCGTAGATATCTACTAATTTTCGTGGTTATTATATGCGCGCATATGGGCCATAATTTTATACGGCGGATTAATCCAAAGTAATAACGTGATAAGCCGAAATGAAAGGGAAATGAAACAGCAACGACAACAGCAGGGTAGGGCTTGGCCCAAAGAAGAAGAAAAAAACGAAATCATCGAAAATGAAATATACACTCACATAAAAAAAGAAGAAAACGTCAAAATCATTCCCAAAAGATCTATAATCAAAATTCAACGGAACAGCATCATAGGCCAACATCAACACGTCCGCAGTAACACATGCTATATGGTCGACGTCTGTTTTCGTCATCGTCTGCTCCTTCTTTCCATCTGATTTTCTGGTCCTGTTGTTCGAAACAAAACATGTAGTTCCTTGTTCCGCTCATTTTATTACATCTGTGTGTGTATGTGTATGTGTATGCGTTTGTGCCTTTTGTAGATCCTCTCAACCATTTTCGACAGAAAGAAAGAAGAGAGAGAGAAAAACACGAAGATGAATTCTATTCACTTTTCATTTCATTTCTCTTCCTTTTTGTGTTGCCGGATTTCATTTTCTTTGTGCCTGAAAATAGTCGAGATAGGAGTTCATTCCAATGCAAGCGATTTGCAATTAGAACTACAGCCAAAAGTGGCTTTAATGGAAATCTATTTGGATACTGAGCATTCGATGTAATTGTTTTCTAATTTGACATTTCTACAAATATGAAGCAACATCACGTAAAATTTGGAACAATCTCTCTTTTCATTTTTCCTTTTGCGGCAGCAATTGAAGTTTGACAAATTTTTGATGGCATAAAGTTGGGTGAGGGGCTCAACGATTGATTGACAGCATAAAAAGTCACTTTTGTCAAATTGGTGGTGCGGCCAAAATGCGAAGAAAAGTCTCTTGAAACGTCTTAATGACGCATATCCATTAAAAAGGTTAAAACACTTAGCCATCGAATTTATTACCGATTCAACCATCTGCATAGACGGGATCGTTGTTCTTTAAGGGTAACTCAAATGAACTAAATAATACGACAAATTGTGCAGTGACTTTCGATGCGATGGGGTTGAAAACATTAATTTAAAGTGGTTCATAATTGGTACTACAATTCTTTACTTGTTTGTAAATTGTCCCGTGAAGACTTTTTATTGATGACGACGCAAAAGATTGAAGAGAATACCCATGTCGATGTAAGACGCTTGAGGCTCACTAAACATAAATATTGAAAGACCGAATAATTGAAATTGAAAATAAGTCGAACAATAAAAAATGTCCAAATACTTGAAATCGTTTTTGCTGTTAAATATTCGCGTGACAGTTGAACGACGATTCATTTGATTTGAACCCTCCCGAGATATTTCACCGTTAAAGTACATTCATCATTCGATTTAATTTATCGAATGCACTTTTATGGGCTCATCCATTTAATGAAATTCTCCAAATTCTTTTCATATCCAACATAAACCATGTATAACGTGGCGATCGAAACGTTTCCCACCATGTCGTATATTCGATGCAACCACAAACAACTATATAATGAAAATTGAATCCCCGAAAATTCTCCGTAATCAGGAAACTATGGCACGAAAAAGTGAGAGATACAAACACAAATGAGTGTGTGTGCGTATGGAATGCGCCTTGAATAATGAAATTCAAATACAGAAAAATGGTAATAATCCGAATAATTATTTGGTAAACGATTTTTTTTCCTTCGCCAGCTTCTCAATGGCATATTGACTGCGCTTGAACGGAAAAGCGTTTTGTATATGCGTATGCTGTCGTGCATATTAAATGCGATGCGTCTAACCGAAAGAATGAAGTGAACATGAAAAAAAACTAACAACCGAATATCACACCGCTGCCACTTTGGTTGAGATCGCTCGCGCGAGCGAGTGCGCGCGCGCGTGTGTGTACTTTTTGTATGTCTAAGAGATTAATAGCAATGACACCACGGTGTTGGGGAAAGGCAATCCAATATTTTGATGTGTTGTGAAGTACACACGAGTTTGAAAAATTGAAATTTATTTACTTTGGCTTCGGTTGAAATGTGTTGCTGCTAGTGCTAGTGTGGTTGTTGTTGCTGTGCCGAGATGCTTGTTTAACACATGCTTCAGTTGAAGACTGAAAAACAGAAACCCATGACACTAGATTACCATTTTTTTCGGCTCCTGTTGGCGTTTAATATTCAATTTCATTCGCTCGAAAATATGGTTCGACGCGTATATTTCATATGACAATGTTTTTTCAGGGTTTTGTTTTTGATTAGCTGCTAAATTTGGGAGGTATTCGATTGTAACACTCGCGCACGCGTTGTCCTTTATTGAATACAAAATAATCAGAACAATCAACGATTTGAAGTCAATGACAACACCATCTAACCGGCATTTCTTTTGTTTCTTTGCAGGCCGACGACGACATATGGGCACGCGGTTCCATATATTAGCAATTTATTTACCAATAGTTATACTATTCACATTATCCGGTGTATCAGGTAAGTCAAATGTCATCTATTTCATTTCATTTTATTTGATTCTAAAGGATCGTTTCAATTCAAATGTCAACATGAAAAGCAGAACACCAGATGAAAGACCGTCTATTGATAAGACAGAAGAAGGTGCTTTAGTTGTCACGTGTGTTTTTTTTTCATCTTCTTTGAATTGCCGACCGCAAATGCTAGAAACATTGTGGTTGATGTTTATTTGTCGAGTATAAACCGAGTGACCGCAACGACAACAAATGAACAATAGTAAATATTCGCGCACCTGATGCCAGCGAGACAAACGTCAACAACCATCCATCTGGGGCACGGACGAATTTCATACAAATTTCATTCCTAATGCATCTCTCATAAAATAAAATGAACAAAAACGAACCAGACCCATAATTTCGTTGCTCGATAATCATAGAAACACGAAATGCACAAAGTCAAGTTCGCCTTTTTTTTCGACCACGAAAATCGTTCCAAATATTTCGATTGCGAATCACGCACGTGTGCTGCGCTCGACTTGGCACGCACATCTGCTGCCATTTTTTTTTCTCGTCTCTTGTTCAACGCATCCATCTTCGGTCATTCATCGATCGATTGAATTTCGATGATGACTGGTTCAAGGAACCAGAAATTAAATGCACGCGTTGCTGCATTTTTTCTTCTCTTTCTTCATCTCGTTTTTGTTTGGCATAACGTCGGCTTTTTAATAGAAGTCTCCATTATTTTTCTGTCTGTTAGCATAATTACGCAGGCGAAGAAGATTTCAATGTTTAACCAACGTTCGGTAGCTGAACGAATATGCAAATCTTCCGACAAATTTTTCCAAATTACTATTTACTAACTAAACAGCCACTCGGTCGAGCTTATTGTTGTTGATAGTTTGAAAGAAAAAACATCGACAATTCTTTTGTTTATCATTAATTTGGAAGCGCCAATTGGCTCTGGCAGAATTTTAAATTTGATCTTTTGCACTGCAATCACCAGCACCGCGTAGAGCATTTACAAGCGACAATTTGTAAATTGCACTGACCCCTTGCATTGCAACCAATCAACGATATTCTTATTATGACTGCACGTGTTGTGCATCGCAAATCAGCACTTGTGACAAAACACAATTTTTTTTTCTTCGTCGAAAACTTCAACGACTTCATTCGAACGGCCATAAGGTTCGTATAAGTTACTTGCAACGCAAGCGCACAGGAGGCACAAAGGAAACGCACTTCAGGAAAGACGAAGAGCAGAGAAAAAAAACATCCTTCTTGTTGTCTACTCATGTGTGTATTGAGTTGTAATGTAAAGAAATCGGCATATTGACCCTCAACTGGCGACTAATGGCCGCTCAATTCGCTTCACAAAATACATTTTATGCAAATGCTCAATTTAAGTCTACCGACGAAACGTGCCAATTTTACATTTCAATAAGCAAGTGAGTCACCGCACACGGGAGCGTTTATTCGAAATCAATCAGCCCCTCTCCGAATGCGACTCGATCGCAGACGACTGTCACAATTAGTGTGTATCGAAAAGAATGCTCAAATTCAAATTTTTTGATTGATTGATTGCCGATGCAACTACATCAATGTCATAAAAATGTCGCTATGTTTGTTGATTCTCGGCATTTTTTCCTCGGTGGATAATTGGTTTTGGGTAGCATGTGGCAAATTTTAAATGTTTGCTGTGATGAATGTTTTCCGACTGTCAAAACGGTGGTAAACATCTTCAGTGGGCTGACGGCGCTACTATGAAGGGGAATATATAAGAAAAATGATCGTAAGAACCGAAAATCAGTTCACTATGGTCACGTTGTGCTCAAGGGCTCCACGGATTTTCATTCACAAATGTGTACAGCAAAAGCAAACATGATTTTTCGTGCACGTCACTCTTCGGAAACCCAAAAAATATGCTTTCATTCACACGGATTCACGCCCGAAGTGGATGCATTATATACTTATCAAAAAGTTTCATGCCTTCGCACAGTGCACATTCCATTCATGGAGCGGCACGTTAACGGAGGCTACGCGAAAATACGCCGAAAATTGCAAGTCGCACCATCAGCATTTTATTTTTGCCACGCAAAATTGGGTTAATGATCGAAAGTGTAGTTCACTTCCTTTCGTTTTACATGTGCGGTGACTTGAGCTTCGTTCACTCACTCGCTCGGTTCCAAAACCAATTCGATTTCAATGAAAATACGACAAATTCGATTCGGCTATAATTAACTGAATTACAATGTGTACGAAATAAATTCCTACACTGGTTCGACTCATGTGCATCGGCATTTCTCGAGCGTTGCATGCAATTTTTATATTTTCGGTGCCGTTTTCGTGAGTTCTAATTTCAACATCGGCGAAATTGTGTGTTTGCGATTTCCACAGAAAAGCAAACAAATCACAACAACAACCGTTTCGCTCATCAATTTATTTATTTCGTGAAATCACGTTGTGTGCTCGACTCTCAAACCTAATAACACAATTCTACGAAGGAATTTGCGATCTGCCTGGCACAATTGAGTGTTTTCGTTTTTTTTCCCAACTCAATCGCCAATCGATTTATTGCGATTTCGTGCGGCCTGTTTATTTCGCCTAATCAGCCGAAGATTTATTTGTAGCTATTTAAAAATTAATTTCACGTCATGCATTTTCTTTACGAAATTGATCTATTTGGGAATGAAAATGATTTGAAAGCAAAAGGAAGAAGCACGTAAAACGGAAAAATCCAACCAGTAAATAAACGAATCCGACCAGAAATTGGAATGAGCGTATTTTACAGAAAAAACTAAGCAAGCGTTCTACTTCACTTGAATTTGCAGAGCTGGAAAAAACACTTACAGTAGATGTGCGGCGCACACAGCTCTTGTAACACATCGGTCAATAAGTCCCGAGCCTAACCACCGTATGGCGCCACTAATGAAATATCCACATGATTTTCCGAAAGTACCAACCTTCAAAAGATTACTGTCAAAATTTCATGACATTTGGACTATTATTTACCTAGTTACAGTGGTTTAAGTGACGCTACTTTTGTAATTTTCAAAACAATGGATTCAAAGCAATTTCGTGTGTTGATTTATCATTGCTATTTAATGGGTAAAAATACCGTTCAGGCTGAGGAATGGCTTCAAAAGTGTTACCCGGGCTCTGCTCCATCAATTGCAACCATCAAACGATGGTTTGCCGATTTCAAACGTGGTCGTACGGACACCGATGATGCTGAACGCTCTGGTAGGCCAAATGAGGCAGTTATTCCAGAAAACATCACAAAAATCAACAAAATGATTATGGCCGACCGCAAACTGAAATTGCAGGAGATAGCTGACATCCTAAAGATATCAAAAGGCAGTGTGTACACAATTTTGCATGATCATTTGGGCATGAGAAAGCTGTGTTCGAAATGGGTGCCGCGTTTGTTGACACCGGAACAAAAACAAAATCGTGTCGATGATTCGGAGAGCTGTTTGACCATTTTTAAGCGCAATCCGAACGAGTTTCTGCGTCGTTATGTGACCATGGACGAAACCTGGGTCCACCATTTCACTCCGGAGTCAAATCGGCAGTCAGCTGAATGGACAGAAGCCGGTGGAAGTCGACCAAAGCGCCCAAAAACACAAAAGTCAGGATGCGCACGGAATAATATTCATCGACTATCTTGAAAAGGGAAGAACCATCAATAGTGAATATTACATAGCATTGCTAACGCGTTTGAAGAAGGAAATCGCCAAAAAAAGGCCTCATATGGCAAGGAAAAAAGTGCTCTTTCACCAAGACAATGCACCGTGTCACAAGTCGATGGTTACGATGGCCAAACTGCATGAATTGGGCTTTGAATTGCTTCCCCACCCGGCTTATTCTCCAGATCTGGCCCCCAGTGACTACTGGCTTTTTGCCGATCTCAAAAAAATGCTCCAGGGAAAAAGATATGGCTCGAATGAGGAGGTGATTGCCGAAACTGAAGCCTATTTTGAGGCCAAGGACAAATCGTTCTACAAAACTGGTATCGAAAAGCTAGAAAGGCGTTGGAATGATTGTATCACTCTAAAAGGGGACTATGTTGATGAATAAAATTGAATTTTGGCAAAAAAATGTTGTTTTCCTACTTAGGCTCGGGACTTATTGACCGATGTGTTATTTTTGGTGTGCGTGCACATTTACATAGATTCCGCCAAAATTTGACACTAGAACCAGCTCTGTGAATTTGTGATGATTTAAGTAGTTTTACTATTGATTCCAATCAGAACGAAGCGAATGCACGGCAAGTCAGCAGTCATAAATGGCGAAATAAAGCGTTTACTCACACGGAAAAGACGCCATATGAAGAGATCATGAACCCTTGGCATTCGTGACGAGCGCAATCAAACCGAAAGTAACTACAGATACGGAGAGTAATTAAATTGTCCTTGAACTTACTCTAATCGAGTGTGGCACTCTGAGTGTGCAAATGAAATCACCAGTCAACATGCCACACTCCATACGTTTTAGCTACTTTATAACCCAGCACACGAATTATAAAATGTGATGATAGTAAAATTAGTTATTTTACAATTTCTTCGTCAGATTAGAGGGTCATATATATCTTGAAATATGTCGTTCCTGCAGCTTGAATCGGCTTGTGACCGCTTGAATCCAGCACATGCAAAAAGGACCTGCAGAAATAAAATAAAGGAGAAACCAACATAAATTATCATCTCGTTTCAACATATGTATTTTATGCGCTTAATGAATGCAATGAATACACATTAAATTGCAATAAAAAGAAAAGAATAAAGCTCAAACTTCGAATCTAAATTGTAGGCAGAACAGATGTTGATTGTGTGTAAAAACGGCGAATAATTGTCGCTTCACAATACTTGATCTTGATTTCATTTCGTGTTCAATTTTAATTTGGCTCTCTGCTCCACTCGTGTGTGTGTGTGTGTGTCTGTGCCTCGACTTCAATCATTTTGTAATTTGATGGATTTTTTTCATCGTCGATTTGACAATAATAATTGAATAATTTTACATCGATCA